ATCCAACGCCACTTCGCGGCTGGGACAGACCAGAGAGCTCTAACCCGGACGCGGCCCCACCCCCCCGGCTCCCCCCCCCCCCCCCCCACCCCCCCCCCCCGCAACTCGCCGGTCTCAACCCCCCCACACCCCGCCCCACCGCCCCTACAACTACCCGGCTCTCCTCGCTCCCCAGCGCTCTCTCCCCACAACTACCCGCCCTGTACAGGTCTCTCTATCGCAGACAATACCCAGACCCCCTCTTCTCCCCACAACTATCTGCCCACCCCTCCAACAATCACCGGGCTATCTCCGGCGGCAACTACCAGGAGCTCCACCGCCACAAACTCCCCCACCTCGGCGAACTACAGGGCTCCTCACTCAGTCCTCTTCTACATCCTCCCTCCTCAACAACTCTCCGGCTCCCAGATTGCCCCAGCCTCCCAGCCTCAGGGCCCCAACGTGCTGGAGGCCCTTACGGCCCCTAACCCCCGGAGCTCCGGGGCTCCGGCTCCCACTCCCCACCCCCCCACACACATTCACGGTGTCTGATCTCCAACTACCCCCGGCCCAGTCTCCCACTCCTCTTTCACCAAGATCTCTCAACTCGTCGCTCTCCCACCGCCAGGGGCTGGCCCCCGACCCCCTGCCCGCGCTCCCCCGCTGGGCTCCGGGGCTCGACCTCCAAGTTTGCCAATTGATTCCTCCCCCGCCCCCCACCGGCTCAGCGCTCCGTGCCGGTCGAGAGCTCACCTTCGGGACTGGGCTCCGCCATGGCTTCCAGCATCGCCCCCTCCCCTCCTCCCGGTCCGGCGCCCCCCTCCCCTGAGCCGGGGATCCCGGTGCCGCCTCCGGTGCTCGGTGCTCCTACTGCCTCGCTCCACAGAGGTGTCTGCCTCGGCCCGGTTATGACTCGAGTCCGCTAGCCGCTGCCGCCACCTCCCTCTACCCCTGCCTCCCGCACTCCCGGACCGGGCCCCCTCCCCCCGCGCCGCCGGCCGCCTGCTCCCTCCTCCTCCTCTCTCCTCCCTCCCTCCCTCCTCTCTCCCTCCTCCCTTCGCGGGCGCCGACGCGCAATGCATCAAGGGGCTTGTAGTCCATCCGGGGGCAGCGGAAAGGGGACTGCATAGGCCTCCGGAACTTCAGTTCCCAGCAAGCCGAGGAAGGGCGCAGGCGCACTAAACCGCTCCCCTCCCCCGGGGAGTGGCGGGGAGATTGGGAGCGGAGGGTAGAGCGGAAGAGCGCGCGCGGGCTCCTGGGAAATGTAGGCTGGGCGGGACTAAGAAAGAAGGAAAAGAAGGGATTAGAACTCTCGGCCACCATACTGCCTCATTCTGCGGCTTCTTTCTCCCGCGGGGGACCGCCCCACTTCCGGCCAGACGGAGAAGGCGTTGCTGGGGGATGAAGTTCTCCCGATGATAATGGCTCCCTCCTCCCCGTCTTCTGCCTCCCTTGAATTCTACCCACCGCCACAGTCTGGCCAAGTGAGATGCAACCGAGGACAGAGTCCTCTGACCAGTTCCCACGCATGAAAATCTCTTCCTTAATCCAAAGGCCGTAACAAACTTGGATGCACTTCTCTAAAGCAGGGACTTTCAAACTTTCTCCCCAGAAACCCAAGGTAAAAAAAACAAAACAAACCACTCTATTTTTTACATCGGGACCCAATACACACGTCTATAAAACTAAAGTTTCACGAAACGACACTCGGAGTATTCCATCGCAACAAAAGCTTTTTTTTTTTTTTTTTTTTTTTTTTGCGCAAGGAAAAACCCAACATCAGCAGAATGAACCAAAATACATTACTACCCCTCCAACCTCCACTTTCCCCACCAGAGGACAACTAAAAAGAAAAAGAGGGCAGGAAGCAACACAAAGCAAATTCCAGTTCAGCTTGGTGGTTTCCTCTTTATTGATGTGCCTCCTACCTCCCCCCGACAATTTCAGTCCCTTCCATCTACCCCCAAAAAAGGAGGTAGTGAAAGGAAGGGAATGTTGGGGTTCTGAGCCCCTTGGGCAGTTAGAAAGGGAACAGAAACCAAAACAATCGCTGGATGTGACAGATTGACAATCGAGAAGTCTAAAGCAGAGTGGGAAAGGTGGTAAGAGAAGGGGGCGAAAGGAGAGGTACAAGAGGTCACCTCCCCCATGAGCCCTCCTGCTAAGAGGGGCTGGAAGAGAGCCTCAAACATTAGGAAGTGCAGGTCCTGAAGAAGGGAGGTGGTGGTTGAGCCCGGAGAAGGAGTAGGTCAAGGAAGGGGGGGACCCCCCACCTCAGGGGGAGCAGCTTCACAGACCGTAGACACTTTCATCACTGTAGGCGATGTATAGAAAGAAGTCCTCTTCATGGTGTTCCTGGGGCGGAGGCAGAAAATGATGGGACTCAGACATCTGGGCTGTAGTTACTTGAACCACCCGTTGCCCGGACCCATTCTTCAAAAGCCCTTTTTTCTGAAGAGCCCCCAAACACTCAGGCCCTGGACTCACTCCCAAACTTGCTCCAGGCCTTAGCAGCCAAGTAGTATTAGCCCTAGCAACAGTCCTGGGCAAAAAGGTCTCAAACTGTTCTCTGCTGCCCTGGGAGGGGGGGAAACTGGAGAAGAGTGAGGGTCAGAACCGAGCTCCACTGTTCCCTCCCTCCTCTCTACTCCTACTGCCCCTGTCCAAACCAACTACCCCAAAATCTTGAAGCCAAAGATGAAATTGAGAGCTAAACAAGCCAGCTAGTCCGAGAACTGCTGACCTGAAACTCTCTTCCTCTCAAGCTCTTCCGACACCTCTCCAAAGCCTCGGCCCCTCTCCAGTCACTATACCTGGTAGAGCTGACCCATTGTGGCACTGGTGGGTGGAATGACATTGTTGACAAAGAAAAACAAGGCATCCTCAGCTCGGAGATGAATTCGCTTCCGGATCAAGAAGTAGAACTGACCAACTGCCAAAGAGACAAGGTACGATAAAGTCCCAAATGGCCTCAAAACAACAGTCACTGTGTGGAGCCTCTTCCCACCCGCAGGAAGCAAACCTGGGTACCCGGACACGTCCCCACCTGTGAGATCAGAAGGCACCAGGTATTTCTTTTTGTCCAGGTCTCCTATCCGAGCTTTGGGAGCCTTTTCTACTATCACCTGATAACGAGAAGATGAAAATTAGGAAACACTGGGTGGACAGCCCCACCATTACACCTGTCGAGAACTCAAGAAACAAAATTCTTAGCACCCAAGCCCATCCGACTCCTTTTTCTTTGTCTGGGAACACGCGGTGCAGCCTCGAGTAGAGATCCTGACCCCACTGCGTCGGACTCGCCTAAACATCCAGGATCCCTAAGTAGGGCGTCATAATAAACAAGTCTCTTAATCAGGCAGGGATGACTCGTCTGGGCCGACTAGAGCGTCCACCTCAAAAACCCAGCTAGCTGGGGGATGGCCATGTGAAGCTCAGACTGTCAAACTCCCTGCAGCCTCCCGCACCACTCCCCACGTCTCTGTCTGCCATCCACGTCCCCCCACCCCCAGCTCTCCCGCTGCCCCGCTCCGTTCAACCTCGGGTCCCAGCCACAGCAGCTTCGGGCCCGTTCCCAACCCCGCCACGGCCGGCAGCCCGATGCCCACGCTGCCCGGCCGGACCCCAACCCCGGGCTATGGCGTCAGAGCCAGCGCCCCGCGCCCTCGGCCCTGGCTACTGTCCTCACCGGAACCCGGTCCGGGTATTTCTTTCGGATCTTCTCGCCCTCAGAGCGGCGTTTCTCGAACGGATGCTCCTCTTTATACACGAACTTCATCCTCCCGGGAACCGGGTGGGACCGGGCTGGGCTAAGGGAACCCGGGGGGGGCCGGGACGGGGGGCGGCGGCGACGGCGGCGACGCGCGGGCGGACTCAGCGGAGCGATCCCGGGACTTGCGCCACTTCCCTATTCACCAACCCCGCCCCCGACCGTCCGGGATCGCCCCGCCTGCTACGTTACGCCACTAGCGCAGCAGCCCGGACGCAGCCAGCGTAGCACCACCTACTGACCGCCCCCCTCACGCCGTCTACGTAATCGCTTTGGAATCAATTTGTGGGCTACGCAGGCGACGTAGCAAAGGTGGTTGGCTTGTGCTATGGTCGAAAATAACTGAAAACCCACGTTCCGACCTTCCCCCACCAAGCTGGAGACCAAAAGGGCTAGAAGCTGCTAATTATAATTTGAGGCTTGGCTTTCCGAAAGTTCTTTTCGGAAACGAGGTGAAGGGGGCGGGGGGGGGAAGGCAGAGATAATTATAAGGATAGCTATTCACGAAACGCGCTGGTACGCCGAAGGCGGCAGCTGACACCAAAACAAAGTAGTACCCAAACAGAGGAGCCGGGTCTCCGGAAAGGAAGGAGGGCAGAAAGAAAACACATATTCGGAGAAACGCAGAGAACGCTTAGGCTCCGAGGAGGAGTGGACCAATAGGGACCGGAGAGGAGGTCCGAAAGGTAGGGACTACGTCAGCGCGGAGGAACACTTTCAGTGCCGTGCCTGCGGCAAATCATGTGATCCCGAAGGGCGGAGCGTCACGTGGCGGCCGCGGGAAGTAGAGCCGGCCGCGGGGAGGGAGGGGGGCGCCGCGGGGAGGGAGGGGGGCGCCGGGGGCGGGGAGGGGGCGGAGCCGGCGGGGAGGCGGGCGGGGAGGCGGCCGCGGCCGGCTGCCCCGTCCACGTCGGTGCCCCGGCGAAGTCCCGCCCCTCTGGCCTGTGGCCCAGCTTTCCCCTCCCTTCGCACCGCTGTGTGCTACTGCCCCGCCGCTCGGGTTCCCTCGGGACACACAGGTGTCCTTCCACTCCCCAGCAGGGCGCCCATCCCATGGCGGGGGCCCTTCCCGCCAAAGCACCTGAGGTCGAGGTTCCCTGCTCCTTCCCCCAAAGCCAGCAGCATCTCTGCCCAGCCCTCAGCCTTCCTGCCCCCCATGCCGCCGTCTCTCCCCTCTGCTCAGGGGACAGGGTGGATGTGAACAAAGGCCCCCCCCTCATTTCCCAACCCAGAGAGAAGGACCTAGGGCAGCTTTGGTTTCCAAAGTTATAATGCATGGTTTAAAAGAGAAAAGAAAAAAAGAGAGAGAGAGAGAAAGCTGGTTACAGGTCTAAGGGAATCTAGGAAGAAGGGAAAATAGAGGGATAAGTGGGGGGGGGGCAAGTTTGGGGAAAATCCAGTGGCCCAAAAATCCCAGTTTCCCACCCACAGCCCAGCCCTTGGAGTGAAGAATTAGATCAGTTTTGTACAAGAGTTTTTAAAAAATCAAATCACAACAAAGCTGGCTTGGCTTTCCTTTGAGCCTCCCGGATTACCGAGCGTCTGTGTGTCATTCTGGCCAGTCCTGTCTCTCCACCGGACAGTTTCGGCTCCCCTAGGCCTCCGCTTCTGCCCCAGTCTGGGGTTTCCAGGGAGCATGAACTCCACGCTAGAGTGAGGCTGCTTCAGAGTCCGGCCCACGTGTCCATCCAGACTCCAGAGGGAGTGCAGAGCTCCCAGGGCAGAGAGGGACGGGAGGGGCAGACCTGCCCACACAGTCCTCACCACTGGACAGGGCAGCAGACGGCGCCCCGAGGGTTCGCCCCCGTCCCCCCCACCCCGACTCAGGTGGGGGGAGAGCAGCTGTCACCAGAGCCTGTGTTGGTGAAGGTTTCGGCTCAGCACAGAACGAACGTCAGCGGTGAACCTGGGATGAAAAAAACTTGCATTGGCAGAGTCCTTACAGTTGCTGTCCTCACAACACTAGTGTTAGGTGGCCTCCCTGGAGATGTGGGGCAGAAATGATCACCATTTTCACGTGAAACGGACGTCCAGTTTGCCCAAAAACCCACTGGCTAAAAGTGATGAGCTTTACTGTAAGAAGGCCTGGGTTCAAATGCTAAGTTCTTCAGGGAAAAGACATAAATAAGTCAAACAGGACACACTTTTATTCCCTCTTGGGATCCCCCACCTCCTTTCCTCAGAAATCTAAGCGTCTAACTTCCCTTACCTGAGCGCATCCAGCATTGGAAGCAGGTTGAGAAGGGCGGTGTCGCTGGGGTCACTGAACCACGATTTGATGGGGATGGCGTTGTCTAGGGCGGGTAAAAATAAATGCGCGTGAGAAAAAAGAGACTTCAACAGACAGGCTGATTTTTCTTTTATTTGGGGATGGGGATCATTACTTTAAAATATTGTTCCTCTCCCTGACCCACCCAAACCCAGCAACCTAAGTAAAACCTTCCGGATTCATCCTCCAAAATAAAATCAACTTTTAGTCACCGTATTTCATGTTAGCGTGAAGCTCCTAGGCAAATTCATTACCACTGTGCCTCACCTGAAGCAAATTTAGTCGGAGGACTGTGATCTATGAAATGGACGTGGGAGGGAGGAGAATGTCTCATGTGAAAGAGAAACACCTTGCATCCTGACCCACAGTAAACCAGGCATCCCAGCTCCAGGCTTTCAGAATCCCTCCTCAGAACTTCCTGGTCCTGCCAGACCCGCCACCTTCTCCCATACCTGGGTGGCTCCTGTAAGCCCCTGGGGAGTTATCCAGGATCACGATGCTGGAGAGGTCGCTGTGGACCACAGAGAGATCCTTGATGTAGCTGCCCAGTTCCAAAGTGCAGTGCTGGAAGGTAGGGCGAGCTGGGCATCAAGAGGAGACTCGTCCCTGTGACCACAGCACGGCCCCAACGATGCCCATGGGCAGCCAACTCCCACCACGGGGGTTATGTGATACGCCTCCCTTCGCCCCCCAGAGGGTCCCATTCCAGGGCAGCTGCCTCAAACTCAGATCCCTCCCTGGTGGCCTGCCTCCCAAGCTTCCTTTTCATTCTGTAGGGAAGCCCCCCTTACCTGTCTGTAGTATCTCCTCTTGAGAATACTCCTGCTATTATCCAGTTTATCTGCCACAGCAGAGCCGTAAATCTCCATGCTTGCCGTGAACACCACCAGGTCGTACCACTGACTCACCTGAAATTGAGAGGGGGAGAGGGAGGGGTTAGAAGAGGTGACCATTCCTCTAGACACACGGTTCTCTTTCGCTAGGACTCCAGCCCAGTCCTTCCAGCCTCTCAACAACACCAAGCGTCTCTGAAGGCCCCCAAACTCAAGAGTCTTAGGCACCACACACCCTTAAGATTCAGAGCTGCAAGAACAAACGAGCAGGCAGCCCGTGGAAGAACGGAATTACATCAGCACATGAACCCAAACTACCGAAAGCCATCCATGCTCTGGCTGTCCCACAACCTCCCCTCTCCAAAACCGCCCATACCCATTTCTCCTCAGCCCCTACTTCCTCCGAGTCGTCTAAATTCCCAGAGCCCTGAAACCACTCCTTCCTCACAGAGCTCCCCTTAATTTCTGCGAACTCACCACTTCTAAGAAGAAATCCACATGGGGCCTCTTATGTACAAAAAACCGGACGGGATGTTTGTCTATTACCACCTGTAGATCAACAGGGAAGGGTTGGGGGCTGTCCTGAGCACCAGAGCACAGGCCGAAAGGACACCCCCACCCTCCCACTGCCCGCCCCCCTCCTGAGGCGGCCACAGGTGCCGGAGGATGGGGGACAGGGACGAGACGCTCTGGGACTGGGAAAGGAAGTCCGCGTGGGAGCCGAGTAAGACATGACCATCCCCCACACACCTTGAGGATGAAGTCTGGAGGCGTTCCAGGCCGGACGGTGGGCCTCAGGACCCCATCGTGATGGGAGTGGATAAGTGTCTCATCCAGATCCAGCACCAGGATCTTCCTCTTCACCTGACCTGCACCACAACCAATACCAATCAACCTCCAGCCCACATCTTAAACCCTACCTCACTTTAAAGGAGTCTTCCCAGCCAGCACACTCACCTAGCCGATTGCGGGACACAGGAGATAAAGGAAGGATATCATATCGAACAGTCTGGTACTGAATTATCTAAAAATAGCAAGAGAGGGGATCAGAACCCTTGACAAGGAGGTCTTGACAAGAAACACTGTATGCCGAGCATCGTGGAAGTAAATGCAGATTATTTCACTGAACCCTCAAAACCCTAGTAAGAATAATATAAGAATGATACTGACGATGGTATCATCGTCTCTAAACAACGAAGAGCCCACGACTTAGCCAGGACCACGTGAGACCACACAGCTGGGAGTTTTCTTGTTTGGTTGTCTGTCCCCCCATTTGGAATGAAAACTCGGCGAGAGCATGCATGTCGTCTAAATCACAGCTGTGCTCCGAGAACTCTGTCACAGGCCGGTCAGTTAGTATCAGGGCCGATGCGGTGGTGGCGCGAGAGTGGTACCCATGCCGTCCGACCCAAGCACCTGCCCTCTTGACCGTGATACTGTCTCGCTGTGCCACAACAAAGAAATGCATGGCCTTCTGCACGTCCATCCCGAGGACCCTTTGTGACAACTCCCCATCACCTCCCTTTGGGAACTGAGAGCCTCAGATCCCTTCGTGGGCTGAGAGGAGTCAGGAGAGGAGGTCCTTGGGTACCTAAGGGGAAGGGAGGATGAGGGAATCCAGGGGTTGTCAGGTCAGCTAAGTTCCTCTGGCTGGCAGCCACCAGGCCTATTTTAACCAGCCACCTGTCCGCTTCTGTCTCTACCAGCCAAGTCACAAGTGGCAGAGAACCTCAGCCCTCTGACCTGCCTCCTTATGCCGGTACCCAGGGCAGGGGACACAGCACTGGAAAGCCCCACCCGCCAGGATGACTGACAGGGTGTTGGGAAGGCCAGGGTGAAGCAAGGGCCATGAGGGAGGTGAGGAAGGGACAAGGACATCACCACCTCAATCTTCCAGCTTCTCCAGGTCTCCTCTAGAGGCTCCCATTTCTAGCACCCAGATCTCTCCCATGCAAGCCTGGCAATCCCTTCCTCTGCTCTTTTCTCCTCAGCACAGACAGATGCTCTTCAGTCCATCCCTAGGCCCCAGCCTCACCGGAACCAGGCTCCCCCCTTGCAAACCACAGGGCCCCTCTCCCCCTAATGCCAAGGCATCTGCCCTTCTTTTCTCCCTGGGCAGGGATGAGGGCAGGGATGAGGGCCATGACAGCTTGGGTGTCCTGCCCCGCTATCTCGGGTTGCACATGCTGGGCATGTAGGGAATGCTCCCAGCATCTGCCAGAAAGGGGGTGGGGGTGGGGGGTTGGGGGAGAAACCAGATTGGAAGGGAAGGAAGGGAAGACAAAAGGCTGTGGGGTCAGTGCTGCCCAGAGGAGAGCAATTTTGCAAGTAACTAGCATCTGGATGGTTTGGAGCACTACTTCCTGCACCCAGAACAGAAATTTGGCGGGGGTGGGGGTGGGGGTGGGGTGTGCTCAGAGCAAGGCCAGGCAGAGAGGACAGGAGTTAACATGTAAAGAAAACCCCAGGAGCTAGCCCCACACACATCTCAGCATCTCTGACCCCAGATTCTTCTTGGCTGCCAAGGTGTTTGAGGGAAATAGCCCTGCCTACAACTATGACCACCCAGAAACAATTCTCACCCTAAATCAGGAAGTGGTAGAGGAGACACCGAATTCGAGGCCACCAGGCTCACTCCCCCAAGTCAGTATGTCATCAACACCACCACCACCACCACCACCACCACCACCACCACCCAGGGCCCTCTGGAAATCTTCTGGCCGAAGCAGGCCCTAGCTGCTTTTATTCTTCCAAGTTTTATTGAGGAACGCCAAAGAGGACAGACCAGAGAACTTCTGCACCTCAGCGCACTGAATTCTCCCCAAGACTTCTTTCAGAGGACTCTCCCCAGTGGTAAGGAGAACACAAGAGCACATTCATTAAATTAAACGATGGTTAGCCTACGGAGCTTTGACCTTGGAGAAAAGCTCTGGGGAGGGAACGCGGAGATACTTGGGCACCTCACTGCCCAGTGTCCCTCATCGTGCTGGGGCCTCCTGGAGAGGCAAGTGTGCTCTCTAGTTCAAGCCCACAACGACAAGCGCCCATCTTCCCACAGAGACACCCAAATTTTAATGTGCTTCCTTCCCTCAAACCTAACATGAAAGCATCTTTCTTAGTCCCAGGGTCTCAATAAATCTAGACACCCACACTCTGAAGTAAGTTTCCAGGGCGTTTTTGGAGGAGTCCCCTTAATGCAAACCGCAGGGGTTTCTTCTTCACACCCAAGGCTTTTCCCAAGTTCCCATGCTTGTTTGTCACATATGCTCTCCCACCCACCCCTACCCTTGACGCAGAAGCCCGGCTCTTTCTTGTTACAAGACCTAATACACACGGAGGGTCCTCCACAAGCTCACGTCGGCAGGGCTGGTGCCATCAAACAGGTGCTCCCTCCTCTAGGTTTCTTTAACAACAACTCCCGCTTTTCTTAAACGGCGCCCCACCCCCCCCCCCCCCCCCCCAAGAGTTGCCAAATCCTGTCCCCGGCTAGCCCCCCCATCTCGGTTCTACTACAAGGGTCTCCCCCCTCCCCATTCCACCCCATGCCCAGCTAAGGGTGCCCCAATTCTCTAACGGGAAAAGCCGCCGCCAGGACTCTGTTCCCAAGCCCAAACAGAGGCCCGACACTTTCCAAAACCCCGTGAGCACCGCTGACATAGGTTCCCACCACCAGCTCCCAACCCCGCTCACCGTGCGGATCTGCCTCCGCAAAAGGTAAATGAAGAAGCTCCAGAGCTTGGCGGCGAAGGCCACGAACGTGCGCAGCCCCAGCAGACACTGCGTCCGCATCATCCCGATGACCCCGGCACCGCCGGCCCCGGGGCCCCCGCGGCCCAGCTCCGCCAGCCCCCCGGGGGCAGCCCCCCGCCGCCGGGAGGGGGAACGGGGGCCCCGAGTGGCAGGAAAGGCTGCAGAGAGGGGCGCGGAGCGGGCGGCTCAGAAAGCCACCCCCGGCGAGGGGAAAGCCCAACGGAACCGGGAGCTGGGGGACAGGCGTGGGCAGCCCGCGGGGGCCCACATGGGCGGGGAGTGGCACCGACGGCTTCGCGGAGGTTGCGGGCCGAGACGGGTCGGGCTAGGACGGGGTCCTCCGAGACCAGGAGGGAAGGGGATGGAGAATTGGGGGAGGGGGCAGTGGGGGAGGGGGCCAGGGAGAAGGGAGGGAGGGAAAAGGGAGGGGGAGGGGAAGGGGGAAAGCGGAGGGGGGCCCGCTGCGCAGGCGCGCTAGGGGGCTGCCCGCGGGAAAGGGCGGGCGGGGGCCGCAGCGGCGGAGAACCGGCCGGCGGAGCGAGGGAGCGGGGAAGGAGGGGGAGGGGGAGCCGAAGGGCGCGGACGGCTGGACCGGAGCGGCCTCCCCCTCCCCGAAGCCGGAGGTGCCTTAGCCGCTGGGGAGCGGGGCTGCAGCCTCTGCAGCTGGATTTCCCACTCTGACAGGCGCCATTTTACCGCCCTAAGAGCTCCCTCCTCTCTTCCCCCCCTCCTCTTCCCCTCTGACACTGTTTCCGGTGGTGACGTGTATTCGCTTCACCGGGACTAAAGCTCCCCCTCCTCGGTCTATGGGGGCGGGTAAGGAAAGCCGAGTGAGCGCCCAACAAGGCCGCAGTATCGCACCAGCGCGGAAGGTGGCGGCGGGGCGGGGCCTGCGAGCGAGGCAGGCCCCGCCTTCAGCGGCGGGGGCGGAGTGATGTCACTTGCCGCCGAAGTTCGGGCCGTCGGACGGGCTCGGGCGGCCTCCTCCCCCTCCCACTGACAACTGCCCCAACGGCTCTTCCGGCCCTAGTCGTGGGAAAAATGTCCGGCTTCTGTGCTCCAGGGCTCGGGGAAGGGCCCCTGCGCGTGAGCCCCTCCCTGGGATATTGAACATAATCACCTCTCATTCCAGACTAGACCCGGTCTCAGTGGTGGGAGGATTCGTGGGCGCCCCGCCCCTTTCACCTGGAGGGGGCGGGGCGTCGGGCCGTGACGCCATCACAGGGCGCCGGATGAGGGACCGGACGCGGATTAGAGATGGAGTCGGTGTTGGCTCTGGGCGGCCTGGTGCTGCTGCGGGGTGAGGGCCAGAGGCACGGGGGTTCCGTCCCGGGGTTCCGTCCCGGGCTCCCGGGGCGGAAGCGCAGAGGAAGAGCCGTGTGTCCCAGGCTAGGGGTGGCCTCCAGGGGTGCGTGAGGACGGACGCCTCCGCGTTCTCACGCTGTTTATCCGTCCCTCCCTCTCCCCAGACTCCGTGGAGTGGGAGGGGCGCAGTCTCTTGAAGGCGCTTGTCAAGAAATCTGCACTGTGGTGAGTATCCCCCAGCTTCTCCCCGAGGTCCCCGGGGCGGAGGTGGCGCGGGGGGGAAGCCCGGGCCCGACTCAGTGACGCGCTCCGTCTCTGCCTTAGTGGGGAGCAGGTCCACATCCTGGGCTGCGAAGTGAGCGAGGACGAGTTCCGTGAAGGTTTTGACTCCGGTATCAACGGCCGGTAGGTTGGGAGAGAGTGCATTGGATGTGGGGTCCCTAAGGAAAGTGGTCTGCAGCAGCAAGCGCAGAACCTGGTGGTCGTTAGCAGCTACTCAGATATTCAGTGAATGGATGTGGGTCTTTCAGAAGGCGAAAATTCGTAAGAGATGAGCAGTAGTGAGTATCTGGAGAATCCAAAGCACAGACCGTAGCGTAGAAGTTGAGAGAGAGAGCATGATAAAAGGCCGATGGTGTAGTTTTGCCTCAGAGGCTGTACTGGAGGATGAGAATAAATACATTCTGGGGCGCCTGGCTGGCTCAGTGGGCAGAGCCTGCTACTCTCAATCTCAGGGTTGTGAGTTCGATCGCTGTGGGTGCAGAGATTATTTACAAATAAAATCTTAAAAAAATAGGGGCGCCTGGGTGGCTCAGTCGGTTAAGCACCTGCCTTCGGCTCAGGTCATGATCCTGGAGTCCCGGGATCGAGTCCCGCATCGGGCTCCCTGCTCGGCGGGGAGTCTGCTTCTCCCTCTGACCCTCTGCCCTCTCGTGCTCTTTGTCTCTCATTCTCTCTCTCTCAAATAAATAAATAAGATCTTTAAAAAAAATCTTAAAAAAATAAACATTTTCTGCCTTTCTGAGTTATTCAGAATCTCATGATGCTTCATCCAGACGTGGATTCCAAAGTTGCATCAGCCCTAGCTGCAGGTTACTGAGTGATTTGTTCTAGAGGCAGGGGGAACAGCCTATGCCAAATTCGGCACATATGTGAAAGCACACTGTTTGTGGGAGGGCGACAGGCCTTCTGCATCCAGACAGATAAAAAGGTACCTCATAGTAAAAGGTCTTACAGAGCAGGAAAGGGAGTTTAGACGTTATTCTAAAGGTAGTGAGAGTCATTTCAAGATTTAGGAGGAGAGTGATAACAGCATAGCTGTGGCCAGTGTGGAGAAGGGGGTTGGAAGGGGGACAGCCTGGAGACAAACCAGGAGGGAAGTCTACTGCAGTTTTCCAGGTGCGCTCAGGTGTATATGCACTGGGCACCAGTTATGAAACAGGTACTGTGGTAGGCACAGGGAATGGGACAGAAGTGGTCTCTATCCTAATGAATCCCTGGGAATGATACTAAGAGATGACAGAGGTCTGCTACTTAAAACAGTAGCAGTAACGATAGAGAGTTTAGGACAGACGTAAAACGACTCTAGCAGGTAGAATTTCCAGAAGTTATAGACTGATGTGGGGAGGAGGTGAGGAGGCTCCTGAACTCACCTGTGTGCCTGGTTAAAAAAGACTACTCTCTGGTCAGGACAGTTCAGTAGATCACATCTGTCTGCTCAGCCCTGACTTTGTATCGGAGCTTGCAATAGGTTATGTTAAGGTGGCATTTATAAGAGAAGCAAAAGATAGAAAGGGGGTATGTGGAACAACTGAATCCTATCCCAGGACTTTTAACCCGTGCCAGACTCCCCCGCCTATACCGTTTTAACAGCAGTTAGTGCCGTGTGACTTAATTCTTGATCTTCTCTAAGCTGCTCTACCAGCAGGAACCACGTGTCATGTCTTCTTCTCCATCCTTCCAGGGAATGACGCATATTAGGCCCCACTCGGGAAATATTTGATGATGACGATGCTAACGTTTATTGAGCATTTACTATGTGTCAAGCATTGTTTTAAAGATCAAGCAGTTTGTATTCCTCTCCTACGATTGAAGAAACTGTCTTAGATTAAGTAATTTATCAGTCAGGTGACCTTGGGTAAGTAGTAAAGCCAAGCTTGGAGCTCAGGGCTTTCTGACACCAAAGTCTGTGCTTTCAATCAGTATATTCCATCTCTCAGTATTATCTTTCACTAATGTTTAGAATATTAAGTCAGAAGAATAGAGCCCCAAAGATCACAGGGTGAAGTTCAAGACTGAGGAGAGGGGGCACTGTTAAGTTGTCTCCCGTTTTCTCTTTGCAGGCTGATTTACCATGACCTCTTCAGAGATCCTCTCAGCTGGTCACGGACTGGGGAAGCCCTTCCAGGGGGACCCCTGGGAGCCTTGCAAGCCATGTGCAGGAGGACAGATCCTGGTCCCTTCACCATCGCTCTCGATTCACTGAGCTGGCTGCTGCTGCACCTTCCCTGTACTGCGGTCTGCCAGGCACTCTGTGCCTTGAGCCATCAGCACTCCCGCCCTGGTGACACTTCCCTTTATTCCTCTCATACACCTTCCCCTGCCAAGGAGCAAGCCCCTTTCCAGCCTAAGAAAGACCATATTAGAGATCTCCAATTGGGCCTTACTCCATCTCTTTAACATTTATCCTCGTTCTCTACTTTTCCATGATGCCATCTACCAGTCACTTTATTGTTTCTTTTCCAAGTTCTTTCTTATTCATTAGTTTCATTCGTGCACTCAACAGATGAGAATTCCACAATGTGTCAGGCACAATTCTAGATGATGGGAAGGTAAGACTAACTCTAGTCAGATTTTTGTTCAAAGTCCCATCAAGGACACAGACAGATAAATAAGCAATTACAAGATAGTCTGATAACAGCCGTGATAATAAAGGAACAGACACAGAGTGCCTTAAGCGGAGTTTGCTAGGCACATTTGGGCAGACCACGGGCCCTGGGACTAGCCCTGAAGTATGCTGTGGGTTCTACAGTGGACTCTGGAATCAGACACCCAGCTTTGTGTTAAGGTGTTTGATCTCTCAGTATTTCAGTTTACTCTATAAAAGCAGGAGGAGGGATGAATGGATAATAGTGGGATGAACCATTTGGAATCCTGTTTTGGTAGGTCAGATCCACATACGTGTCGAGTAACAGCAGTTTCATGTGGTTCAGCCTAAAAATGCTGGCCTTCGTAAGAACTGAAACGTGAAAGTATTTGGTGCAGTGCCTAACACTTTGTCAATACCCCCAGAAAGGGGGAGATTTAGTTGAGGGAACCAAAGGCATTGAGTGGGATCACAGTGTATAGTTCCCAAACCTGCAAGGAGTTCAGCGTGTAAGAGACAAAGCTGGAAACTAGGCAGGAGCAGATGAGGAAGGGTTTGATTCCATCCCTTGGGCGGTGAGGAAGGAGCTCCTGAGGACTGAAGTCCGAGTGGGTCATGTTCAGATTCGGCCGTAACGAAGTGAAGGCCGAAGCAGGCTCCAGAGCCGTCAGACCAGCCGAGGGAGGTCAGGACCAGCAGAGCCGTGATGGAATGTGGCCTCACCTCGTGTGCACCTCCTTTGCTCTCCGAGCCCAGGCCTCCCTCCTGAATGTGCCCCACCCTCCTTGTCCCTCCAGGTGGCAGCTGCCCGGCAGAGCCCGTGCGAGTGCTAGGCCTGCTCCATGAAGAGCTCCATGGCCCAGGCCCCCTGGGAGCCCTGAGCAGCCTGGCCCAGACCGAAGTGACCCTGAGTGGGGCAATGGGCCAGGCTTCGGCCCACATCCTCTCACGGAGGCCCCGACAGCGCCCAGCCCATCAGGTCAGGAGAACCCCAGGGAAGCACGGGAGGTCGGGGGCAGGTAAGGGGGAGCGTAAGAGAGCTGACGTGAGGGAACACTTCCCTGTGTGTCGTCATTTCCCTCGCTGAATCTCAACGGCTACCTGTGAGGTGGATGGTTTCATTACCCGCATTGAGCGGCTTGGGGAAGGTTACAGAGAGTGAGTGGCAGAGCCAGGATTTGAACTCAAGATTGCCTGACTCGGATCCCGTGAGCTTAAGTGGGAGGAGGTGTCATCTTCCAAGAAATGGCAAAGGACAGAAGCCTGGGAGCTGTTCCTGGGAGAGAAGGAACGGGTCCTGATGGAGAGGTTTGAGGAAGAGCTGAGGAGGGACGAGCAGGAGCTGCAGGCAGCCCATTCCGTAGTTGCCCTGGGGGCCGGGGCAGTTCGGTCCGAGTTCTCCCTGGTTTGCTCCGTAAGATGGAAAACACCTTTCTGTTCATACTTTCTTCTCCGCAGACTCAGTGGTTCTCCATCCTGCCTGACTTCAGCCTGGATCTCCAGGGGGGACCCCCGCTAGAGTCCCAGCCCCACCCAGATCCTCACACACCCCCGGTATCTAAGGGTGCCGGGGCCAGAACAAGGGAATGGAGGGTGGGGTCGGGGATTCCAGCCATGAGGCAAAGGGGCAGCATCCTTTGTACCTTCAGGTGGACCCCACAGCTCGTGTGACCTTTAACCTTCACCTGTCCAAGAAAGAGAAAGAAGCCAAAGACAGCCTGACACTGCCCTTCCAGTTCAGCTCTGAAAAGTAAGGTTAGGGGTGAGGTGCCTGGGTTCTTCAGTAGAGCCCAGCATCTGGGCCTGGGATGGGAGTGATAGCAGGTTATTGGTTAACCTCCCAGACTTTATAGGGGCTGAAGTCCACCTCCAGAGACAAGTCTGGGGAGTGGTTCTCTATCCGCTCATTCTCCCAACAAGGCAAAAGGGCCTTTATGTCTCTTTTTTCTCCAGTAGAGCCTTGGGTCACAGAGCAATCTGAGTCTGGGCTGAGCCAGCCCATACCCTGGGGAAGTGGCCCTACCGATCTCTAGGCTCGGCGGACAGGAAGCTAGATGGGTGTGGCGGACAGGTTAATAACGGCTTCAGTATATGCCTGTTGTTCTCTGCCCCGTGTGTGGGTGGGTGAAGCAAGACTGTGGCAGGATCCTTGCCCTCAAGCTGCTAAGAACGTGAGGTGTCATTAGGAGAGCAGTCTAAGCGTTTCTATCCCAGTACCAAGTGGTGCTTCCATACCAACTAAACAGGGAGGTCAGAGAGAGAGAATCGGACCAAGAAGAAAGAGAGTATGCAGCAGACATGACTCCTTACCGGCCCCCCGCCCCCAGCACCAACTCTCCGCTTCTCCCTTCTCAGACAGCAGGCTCTCCTGCGTCCTCGGCCTGGCCAGGCCACCAGCCACATCTTCTATGAGCCAGATGCATATGATGACCTGGACCAAGAAGACCCAGATGATGACTTGGATGTTTGACTGGCCTGGAATTGGAAGGGAGGAGAAAGACCTTGGACCCATAACCATCCTCCCATTGTTTGTATTGGCCTTGCCCTGTCCCTGCCCCCCCCCTTTGTTCTGGGGTCTTGCGAGGCCCTGCCCCATGACCTGTGAGTCAGAGTAGCTTCCCCTCTGGACAGAATGTGGGAAAGGGGCATTAGGGGAAGGTGCCTAATAAAGTCTTTATTTTTCTACGGAAAGGCACTTTGGTAGCTAAGCAAGAGTTGGGAGTAGAAGGGACTGAAGAATGGGAAGAGATGGGAAAGCAAGCACTTGAGTCTGTTCGAGTCAGTGGTCCGAGGTGGGGCCTGAACGACAAGGAGTGGTGGCACATGGAGAGCCTTGCACACCATTGGTGCTCAGTACATGTTCTGTTTTAAGCCGAAGCAGGTGCATTTAAAGGTTCCAGGTTCCCTGCAAGGATTTGGGTTGGAAGAAAGCAGAGGCCCTGAAGGGGAAAAAAAGAAGCCTACTTTCCAAAACATACTTTTTTATTACTGTACAAAAAGCACACCCAATCCCCCTCTTTTTTGTCTCCCTCAGCCCTCCTCCCCTCCCCGCACCCCCACCCCCGGGGGGAACTGTACATGGTACCCCTGGCTGGGGTGACAAGGCTTCTGCTCCACACCCCACCCACGGGCTGAGATCTGCCCCAGGTCATTTCTGGTACCTGGCCACACCAGAGGCTGCCAGGCTGGGGCAGGGGGTCCCAGCTCACACGTACTCCTTGGCAGAGTTGGGCTTAGGGTAGGAGCGGGGTGCACGGTACCCGGTTTTGCCCTCACTCCTAGGACAGGAGCAAGAGAGCAGGGCACCTCCCAGGATGACCAGAGCAGACCCTGCCCAGCCAATGAAGATGGCAGAACCAAACTCGTACCTAGGGGGAGAGAGGGTTGGGGTCAGAAACCCTGCCGTTCCTGACGCCAGGAATCCAGATCTGGCGTTCCCTTAGGAGGCAGGGCTCCCATACTTACTTAAGATTCATGGGGACCAAGGCGCTATAAAAGTCTGTGACAATCTGGTGGCCGTACCAGGAACAAGCCACCAAGGCAGCAAGACCTGGAGACAGGATGATTCAGACGTTATTAGGAGACCCCCCCAGACCAGCACCTTGCACACCTTCACTCCCAGATGCAGGGGGAGAGCTCACCTGCCACGATGAAAATGAAGCCTCCGGTCACGGCTATCCGGGCCTTCTTCACTTTGTCGTCGCCCCCACAGTTTGTGCACTTCATGCCCATGGTGGCCACGAACATGGCCAGGAAGCCCAGCACCAGCGACACCACCATCAGGGCTCGGGTGGCCTGCAGGGCCGCTGCGGGGAAGGGGGAAGGACGCCCTCACTGCTGGGCGTGCGGACGGCTCCGGCCTTCGGGTGGCCGCCGGCCGCAGGCCTGGGGCCCCTTGGGCGTCCAAGCCCCGGCCGCAGCGGGTGGATCCCGCCCCTCCCGGCTCCGCGGCCTTCCCGCCCCGCCCTCTCTCGGCCCTGGGACCCGCCCGGGGCTCAAGGGTTTCGACGAAACTGCCCCCGGAGGGGGATCAGGGGGCCGGGGCCCGAGGCGGGGAGTGGAGGCGGCGGCTGGGGCCCTCGCGCTGGGCCGCACGGCCCGGCCCGCGGCCCAGCGCTGACCCCGCTATCGTGGCCACCCGGTTTGTGGCTTCGGCTAATCAGCCGATAAGATTACAGGCCGCAGGCGGCGGCCCAAGTCTGACGGAGCGCATGGCTCCTCCGCCAGCCCCGCGCGCTCCGCCCCGCGCCGCCTTTTGTCCGGGAGAGAGGGTGGGAGACGGAGGCCGCCACCTGCGCGGGCCGGCGCGGGGAGGAGAGCGCTGGAGGGGGTTGGGCCGCCGGGCGCTGGGGTTGGGGTGTGGTGGGGGGCGGTGGGGGGAAGGGAGCCCGGCCGGCCGGGGCGCGGGCCGACGTGCAGCTGCTGGAACCCGGGCCCGCGGCCCTCCCCGCGCCCCTGCCCGGCCGCTTCCGCTTCCTCCGCCCGGCCTGCTCCCCGGCAACGCCGGGCGTCGGGCGGTGGGACCCCGCGCCCTGCCCCGCTCCCCGCTCTCGGCCCCGGCGCGTCCGCCCCGTCGACCCCGCGGCCTTACCTGACAGCGCGAGCACCGAGTCGTACGACTTGCAGCTCATCAGGCCCGTGCTCTGCATGATGCAGTCCATCCACAGCCCCTTGTACATGGCCTGGGCCGTGATGATGTTGTCGCCCGCGTACGAGCTCACCTGCCACTGCGGGATGGCGGTGCACGCCACCAGGGCCACCCAGCCCAGCAGGGCCATGGCGAAGCCCAGCAGCTGCAGGCCCGAATTGGCCATGTCTGCCCTCGGAAAAGATTGGGGACGCCGGGCGGGCGACCCTGCGGTAAAACAGACAAAGCTTGGAGGGTCAGCCCCTCAAAAAGACAACTTGCAGTGGAGTCTTAAGTCACCCAAAGAGAAGTTTTTGGGTCAAGTGATTCCAAATCTTTTTGTCACCCGAAGAAAACACAAATCGATCCGTCCGGCGGATCGAGGGTCTTCACAGCTCACGGAACAGGCTCCGCGCGAGGACTGGTGGTCGCAGAAGCGATCGGCGAAGGCCAGGCGGTCCCCTCCGGCGCTCCCGGCGACCCTATCCAAACAAAAGGCGGAGGGGTAGTATATGCGCGCGGCCCTGGGGGCTGGAGGTCCCCAAAGTACCCCGGACTGTCGGCCCGAGGCCGCCGAGCGAGAGAGACGCTGCTCAGCCGTGAGCGGGCGGATGCGGGCGGACAGGTGCGGCGCACCTGAGTATTTGTAGGGCGTCAGGGGCGCGCCCCCGCGGTGACCGGGAGCGCGGGGCGGGCCGGGCCCGAGGGGCGGCCGAGAGTGACCTGACGTCACCGAAGGGACACTCACCTGAGCCGGAAGTCCTGGCCCAGGTGAAGAGGAAGAAACCTGAGCGTCAGGGTCACACCCCTTCTCTTGCCCGGCTGGGACTGCAGGTGGGGAGGAGGTGGAGGCTTCCCCGGAGTTCCAAGCTCAGAGTCAGCCCCTCTAGACTGGACTTCCCTCGGGCACCAGGATGCCCCCTCACCTCTGCACAGCAGGTGCGCCTGGGATCCTGCGGAACCGGGGTTGGGGGGACGCCCCGGGCCCCTTGTCTCCGCCTCCCCACCCCCCCACCCGCAGGGACTCTTGGTTTCTACTCCAGGCGCTCTTTGTCCCGCCCTGCTTTCGCCCCCACCCTCTGCTCGTGTTTTGTTTTTTGTTTTGTTTCGTTTGTTTTGTTTCCCCAGTTGAGTATCCTAACCGTCCCCAGCTTCAGGAACCCTAGCTCCGATCCCTCCGAACTCCCGCACTTAGCAGCCTCCTGGGAGCGTCCATTCCCAGAGCCACCGCCTCGTGGCCGCCGGCCGGCCGCACTCCTGTACTACTCTCCTGCTGAGAGCCGCCTTCCAGGCATCACCCCCACCTTCTTGACTCTCCATTCCAGTTCCTATCCCTGCCATAACCTAGTGCCTGGGCCCTTGGCGCCCCGCCTCCCGGCCGTCACTATCCCCCCCCCCCAAAGGATGGGGAGCCGGGTAAGGCCTGGTCCGACTCCTGGCCACACCCGTCGTTCCCCTCCCCTGGAATCTCTCCAGACCTGTTCTCCACTTTCTCACTTCCCGGTCCCTCCAGCCATGCACCCATTTCCCTTTCCTTCCTGAACCTGGACCGGACTGTGTGTGCTGTCCTCCCTAACGGCCCCTCCGGGGTGGCCTTGGGTTCAGCCCTCGGGCCTCCGCTCTCACTCCGCCCGGACTGTTGCCCGGGACTCCCCGCGCACATCTCTTCCGAGCGTCTCCATTCACTCATCCCTCCCTCACCTCGTGTCTTCTCCCCGTCCCCCCTTTTCCACATCCCACTGCGCACCCCTTCCTCCAGGTCTACCTTCCAGCCCCTTCTCTGCCCCGGGAGCCCAGCGGCGTCACCCCCGTGCCCCCTCGCCCACAAGTCCTTCCGACCCACCTCTCCTCCGCTCTCCGACTCACACCTTCCTATCTTCCTCTCCATTTCTCTCTCCTTTTCCCCCCAACTCGCTCCCATTTCTCATTTTTCTTCCCCCTCAACCATTTCTCTGTAAGGCTCTTCTTTGATGCAGTAAAAATATTAAAGGGCCGGGGCGCCTGCGTGGCTCAGTCGTTAAGCGTCTGCCTTCGGCTCGGCTCATGATCCCAGGGTCCTGGGATCGAGCCCCACGTTGGGCTCCCTGCTCCGCTGGAAGCCTGCTTCTCCCTCTCCCACTCCCCCTGCTCGTGTTCCCTCTCTCACTGTGTCTCTCTCTGTCAGATAAATAAATAAAATCTTTAAAAAAATATATTAAAGGGCCTTGGTACTAAACTGATTACCCTGCTCTTTTAATGCAGACTTTAAAGGATTATCTGTTATTTGTTTTTATTTTTCTATTCTTTTGATTAATGGTGAGTTGTTTTTGTTGTTGTTGTTGTTGTTGTTGTTGAAGGTGCTTTCCAGCTCCAAAATTTTATATTTCTCATTAATGCAGTCTGTCCAGCTTGTCTCCAAGTTCAGTGCCGCTACTGAGGCCGACCCACCATCACCTCCCCTGCCTGCACACACCTGCCTCCAAACCCACATCCCTGCTTCCCTGCTTGTCCCTTTAAAATCCGTTCTCCGGAAGTCAACTTTTGTTTGTATGTTTCAAGCTTAAGTCTTGTTACTTTCTGCTTAAAATCCTTAAAATCTTCCAGGGACGCCTGGGTGGCTCAGTCGTTAAGTGTCTGCCTTTGGCTCAGGTCATGATCCCAGGGTCCTGGGATCGAGCCCCACGTCGGGCTCCCTGCTCCACGGGGAGCCTGCTTCTCCCTCTCCCTCTGCCACTCCCCCTGCTTGTGCTCTCGCTCTGTCTCTCTCAAATAAATAAATAAAATCTTTAAAAAAAATAAAATAAAATCCTTAAAATCTTCCAGTGTCACACCTCTTCTCTTGTTCCACTGGATTTGCCAAATAGATGTCATATCGTGACTTACCGAACTGTGCCTCAGCCCCACTGGCCTCCTCTCTGCTCCACCAAATGCCCTTCACACACTCTGTTCCTTATGCCTGGATGCTGTCCTCCATGCACCCCCACCGCCATCCTCTACCCAGCTAACCCACTGGTCCCTCGGTGACCAGCTCAAATATCACCTCTCCTGGGAAGCCTGGCCTTGACCACCCCGCCCCACACTGAGTCATATCACCAGCTGAATGCTGAATGCTCACTCACCGCTACTTGAGCTTTAACTTGCAAAGTTCTTATCAGAGTTTCAAACTATTTACTCTGTGTGATTATTTATTCAATGTCAGGCTCCCACTGTAGATGCGTCCGGGTTTATCACCAATAAATATTGGATGAACCTGTGACGAAACTACAAATAAACAATATTTTCATTCACTTGCTCAACAGTGATTTCCTGCGTGCCCAGGTAACGTACCAGGCCCCATGCTCGACGCTTGAGACAGCCGTAACAGGACAGTTGAGGACACTGCACTCTTGTCATTGAGATTCTAGAGGGAGAAAGCAGACCATAGAGACAAAAACAAAACGGTGCATGTTGTGAAGGCAGTAAAAGGGGCAATGTAGTGAGCAACCTCAGCACCACTGACATTTGGGGCCAGATAATTCCCTGTTGTAGGTGACTGTCCTGTGCATTATAGGATATTTAGCAGCATCGTTGACTTCCATTGATGAGATGCCAGTAGAACGCTCTTCTGAGCCCCGTGTGACCATCCCAAATGGCTCCAGACATTGCCAAATGTCCGAGAGAGGGGAGGGGAAAAATAGGTCCCAGTTAAGAGCCACTAATTTCAAGTGTGACCAGTCAACATCACTGTGGATGTTTTGCTCTAGTAGCCTTCAAGTAAACGGTTGGGTACAAGGAACAAGCGGATGGATGGTTGGACTTAACCAGGGTTGGGATTTTGCTGAAGAGAGAAAGAATATTAAAGTATTTGCATGAGAGTGTTTCATGTGTTGGATGGCAGATATAAATTGTGTAAGAAGGGTTGGTGGAGGGGCGCCTGGGGGGCTCAGTCATTGAGCGTCTGCCTTCGGCTCAGGTCATGATCCCGGGGTCCTGGGATCGAGCCCCGCGTCGGGCTCCCTGCTCCGTGGGGAGCCTGCTTCTCTCTCTCCCACTCCCCCTGCTTGTGTTCCCTCTCTCGCTGTGGCTCTCTCTGTCAAATAAATAAATAAAATATTTTTTTAAAAAAGAAGAAGGGTTGGTGGAGGGGTGCCGAGGGGGCTCAGTTGGTTGAGCATCTGTCTCTGGCTCAGGTCATGATCCTGGGGTCCTGGGATCGAGTCCCGCGTCGGGCTCCCTGCTCCGCGGGGAGCCTGCTTCTCCCTCTCCCTCTGCCTCTCCCCGTGTTTCTGCTCTCTCTCTCTCTCTCTCTCTCTCTCAATCTCTGTCAAATAACGGAATTAAATCTTTAAAAAGGGGGGGGCTGGTGGGTAGTAAGAAATGGAGAGGGTCGACGGTTTAGAGGTCTCCGTGAAGCGAAGGGCGCGAGATCCATGAGACAATGAGCTGGCAGAGGCTGGGAGGTGACTGTCAGACGTAGGAGGCTTGAGTTCAGTCCATTGGAGGAGGCTGTTTTTGGAGACGACAAAGCCTAGTGTAGGGGCCTGAGGATGGACTGAAGAGAAAGATCGGCAGAGATGACAGAGTTGAGAAGAGACAGCCAGGTGGAGCCTGACGGATGTTGAAGTCGACAACAGTGATGATGGGCAGAGGACATGGGGAAGGTGAGGAGCTGGGCGGTAACGTTATCAGTGACTGCGGGCGAGAGGCCAAGCAGCAAGACCCTAGCAACAGTTAGAGGTGGCGGGTGATACACTTCCAGACATGAACTTCAAAGGAGCAGAGGATTTTGAAGGAGGAAGGAAGAATCATGGTCTAGACTGGGGGGGGGGGGGGGACACAATACCCCCAGCTCCAGACCCTGAAGCATGTGAAATAAGACCAAAAATCAGCTTCTATTTTTTTTAATTTTTTATTGTTATGTTAATCACCATACATTACATCATTAGTTTTTGATGTAGTGTTCCGTGATTCACTGTTTGTGCATAACACCCAGTGCTCCACGCAGAACGTGCCCTCTTTAATACCCATCACCAGGCTAACCCATCCCCCCACCCCCCCTCCCCTCTAGAACCCTCAGTTTGTTTTTCAGAGTCCATCGTCTCTCATGGTTCGTCTCCCCCTCCGATTTCCCCCCCTTCATTCTTCCCCTCCTGCTATCTTCTTCTTTCTTTTTTTTTCTTAACATATATTCTATTATTTGTTTCAGAAGTACAGATCTGTGATTCAACAGTCTTGCACAATTCACAGCGCTCACCGTAGCACATACCCTCCCCAATGTCTATCACCCAGCCACCCCATCCCTCCCACCCCCCACCACTCCAGCAACCCTCAGTTTGTTTCCTGAGATTAAGAATTCCTCATATCAGTGAGGTCATATGATACATGTCTTTCTCTGATTGACTTATTTCACTCAGCATAACACCCTCCAGTTCCATCCACGTCGTTGCAAATGGCAAGATCTCATTCCTTTTGATGGCTGCATAATATTCCATTGTGTATATATACCACATCTAAAAATCAGCTTCTGTTAAGAGACCTGCTGGGGAAGTGTGTCCTCCAAGACAGCCGGGTTTCAGTAAGGTCTAGGAAAGGAGCCTTCAGAGAAGTGCCTTGGCACAGAAGAAGAGTTTGAAAGACCAGGTGTGGCTGGAAGA